GCCTTCCATCAGGGGCGAGCAATTTCACTTACCTCCAAGTTTCAGATGTTCCCTGTACTGGCCACCAAATGCCAGTGTCTTGACTGGGCACAGAATCACGAGCCAATCACAGCTTTGTAGATTCAAACAGCAATTCTTTATTCCCGAACTCACACTGGCCTCCACACACATTCAGGGGAAATCCAAAATCTGCCCGCCCAATTCACCTACTCCAYGAGGCTTTTTTCCAAATCCCATCTGAATCTCACGAGAACTCAACGGGAACAAGCAGCAGGAACACCCTAATCCCAGCAGCAATAATCTTCAACCTCCAACTTCCCTAAAACCCTTATTGTCTTAAACCGGGAACACCCTAAACTTATCTAAAACCGGGAACGCCTTAAACTCAAGGAGTGGGGAAACTTCCTCAAACCTGATCAGCTCTAAACCCGGATCCACCCTGGTCTTTGAGCAAGGTCACCTTACTAAAGCATACATGCAATGTCAACAGGGAAATCCATTTAACATGGGGTACGCTGGCAAGGAAATTTTGATGCGTCATACCTACTTGGCAATGGCCCTCAGCAGTAACTTGCTCACCTGGCATCCACGGGCGCTGAGTTCAATCCTCAGCACCACATAAAATTAAAGATGTCATGTCCACCGAAAACTAAAAAATAAATATTTTTTTAAAAAATTTTCTCTCTCTCTCTCTTAAAAAAATGATTCTTTTAACCACACTGCATTAACAGAAGTATAAAAAATGATAAGTTGATTAATAATATATCATGCCATGAACTTTTCTTAACTTTAAAAAATATCTAAAAAAATTAGATTCAGTTAAAAAAAAGACTACTGGGGCTGAGGATGTGGCTCAAGTGGTAGCATGCTCGCCTGGCATGGATGCGGCCCGGGTTCGATCCTCAGCACCACAAAGATGTTGTGTCCGCAGAAAACTACAAAATAAATATTAAAATTCTCTCTCTCCTCTCTCTTTAAAAAAAAAAAAAAAAMAACCACTACTGATTAAGCACATAGATAATGGCCTCTCCCTTGGAAGCAAGCATTCTAAAGCTTGGTCATATTGGAGAGAATGTGGAGAAAAAAGAATACTTTTACACTGTTGGTAGGATTGTAAATTAGTACAACCACTGTGGAATCAGTTGGAGGCTCTGCAAAAAACTAGGCATGGAATCACTATAAGATCGAGCAGCATTGCTCCTTGGTATTTATCCTAAAGAATTAAAGTCATCAGGGCTGGGACTGTAGCTCAGTGGTGGAGTGCTTGCCTAGCATGCATGAGGTTCGGGGTTTGATCCTCAGCATCACATAAATATAAACAAATAAAATAAATGCATTCTGTCCACTTACAACTCCAAATAATAATAATAATAATAATAATAATGATAATAATAATAATAATAAAATAATTAAAGTCATCATACTATATAGATACATGCATACCCATGTTTATAGCATAACAAGTCACAAAACCAACTATGGAACCAGCCTGGGTGTCCATCAACAGATGAATAGATTAAAAAAATAGAAAATGTGGTATATATACACACAATGGAGGGGTTTTTTTGTTTTGTTTTGTATTTTAACCCAGGATTAAACCCAGGGGCACTGAGCCACATCCCTATCCTGTTTTATTTTTTATTTTGAGTCAGGGTCTCATTAAGTTGCTCAGGGCCTCACTAAACTTCTGAGACTGKCTTTGAATTTGTGATCCTCTTGCCTCAGCCTCCCAAACTTCTGGGATTATAGGCATGTGCCACCATGTCTGGCCACAATGGAGTTTTATTCACTATAAGAAAAATGAAATTATGTCATTTGTAGGAAAATGAATGGAACTAGAGACCATTATGTTAAGGGAAATAAGCCAAATTCAGAAGGTTAAGGGTTGTTATGTTTTCTCAGCTATTGGCTGAATGATATATGAACATGTAACAACAAATCCCATCATTGTGTACAATTATAATAGACCTATAAAAAATGTGGGAAAAAAAAGCTTAGTCATAGCTGTGAGCAATGGTACATGCCTGTAATCCCAGCAGCTCAGAAGGCTGATAGGAGGTTCAAAACCCAGCCTCAGCAAAAACGAGGCGCTAGGCAACTCAGTGAGATCCTTTCTCTGAATAAAATCTACAAAATAGAGCTGTGGATGTGGATGTGGCTCGGTGGTTGAGTGATGTTGAGTTCAATCTCCAGTACCAAAAGAAAAAAGAAAAAAAAGCTTGGCCATAACAGAAGATAGAAAATTTAAAAGAATGTTAGAACTTGAAGGATTTCTAGAGGTAATCTAMTTATTCTCCTTGGTTTACAGATAGAGAAAGGAGATGAGATAGCCGATACCCTGTACAAAAGGGCCTAGAAAAACTTGACTCAAGGAAGTTAAGTATGAGGCTTTCCTAAAACATGCAAAAAGGCTACTTTCTTGGTTATAGTCAGATCTATTTTAAGCCTGGTGCCTGGGAAGTAAGATTTCACAATAATCCTTAGCTCTGAACCAATGAGAGATCCTATTTTCATTTCCAAAGTTAAAAAAACTGACCCTGACCTCTCTCCAAAGAATTACAGCTAATCATCAAACCCCATGAGACCCAAACTATGTTCCATCTGTGACTAAGGTTAAAACAGACTCCCCCCACCAACCAATTCTTTCCTTAAAGGTCTGGCAACTTCCATGTGTATCTGTTTTGATTAGGTAGAATGGATGCTGCTACTAATAGCAATAAAAAAATTGAAAAAATATCTGAGAAGTGGGTAGAGCCAGGCATCTCTGAAATAAAACCAGATAGATGTTATTTACAATTATAAAACTGTTGGCCTTTACATACTCTTTTATACTTGATCTTCTCCCTTTAAGATTCACAAATACTACTATCTTTATTCCCAACCTTACAAGTATATAACTCTCTTTTTATAATGAGATTCTATTTCTGCAAATGAGTTTCTATGTCCACCTATAATACATGAGGAATTCCCAGGATTTAACAGTGATAATCCTTTATGTATAGATTAGTCTCACTTTGAATAAGGCCTTTATAAATTAGTCAACTTTTTCAATTACATTTTCAGTTAACTTAGCTATAAATTGTAAAATATTCGCAGTACCCGCCTTACTAGAGTGCCTGTGAGAGTGTGGAGATTACAACGTGATAAAACTGTTGGCGGGCTGGGGATATGGCTCAAGCGGTAGCCCGCTCGCCTGGCATGCACCGGGCCGCTGGGTTCGATCCTCAACACCACATAAAAATAAAAAATAAAGATATTGTGTCCACCTAAAACTAAAAAATAAATATTAAAAAAAAAAAACAAAAACAAAAACTGTAGGCATTACCCTGCAAGAAAAAGAATGCTACTTGTTTCTGGTTTCACCATTTTCTACRTGAAGGCATACAATTTAAAAAAAAGTCTCATATTTAAAAAACTGATACCTTTTGTTATGTGTTTTTTAAAACAAAATAAAGAACAAATGTTGTATAATTAAACTTATTTGAGGAATCTAGAGTAGTCAAATTCATAGACACAGAAAGTAGAATGGTGGTTATACAGGGCCAAGGGGAAGGGGAAAACAGAGTTATTGTTTAATAAGTAGAGTTATAGTTTGAGATGATGAAAAAAGTTCTGAAGATGGATAGTGATGTTGGTTACACAACAATGGAAATGTATTTAAAATCATTGAACTGTACACCTCAAATGGTTAAAATGGCTAATTTTATATTATATTAATTTTATCACAATAAGAAAACATATTACCTTGAAGGTCTCCAATCATTTCAGAATCRTGACCTCTGTCTCTTCGTTCAGCTTCCAATACAGCTTGTAGCTGGTAGTAATCCTTGTCTGTTTGTGACTTGGAATTCTCTAAAATTCTGTTTCTCTCCTGCAATTCTCTGTTCAGGGACTCTAGCTGGCTAATTGATATGCTCATTTCTGTATGACTCTTCCTTAATCTTACAGCTGTGTCTGACTCTGTCCTAAGCAAGTCATTGGCTTCTTCTAGCTATTTAAAAGAGACAAAAAAAAGAATTTTGAACAAAATATGATTACAATTATTTTAATTTACTATAATTTAAAAATAGGAACCTTATCTGAAAAACTTACCTGCTTCTGTAATTGTATCAGCTTCTCATTTGTAAGCTGTGAATTCTGACTGACTTTCTTTAAGTCTTCCAACTGATCTTTTAATGTAGAAACTAGACAGTGAAAGAATATGTAAAGATTATGAACTTTTAATAGAGGAAACATAAATTGCTTTTTTTAAAAAATGACAYTTATTCTTAGACCATAACAGTCAGCCAAACTAGGTCCATTCCCACTCCTAAAACCAAATTCCTGCTTGGATGTCCTAACATTTTAAATGCATCAAAAAGTATATCATTTTATAATTCAGAGTACAAAAATGGATGTTTCCACTGTTGTAATATCTCAAATTCTTTTATTGCCTTAAAAATATCTATTAGAGTAATGTTATAAAGCTAGTTTTATTATTTGTTTCTGAATAGTACAATTACTTGAATCATTTGAATAATTCAGTATTTTAAAAATGGTATACAAAATTCAAAAGGCACTAAACAGTAGGTAATATAGAATAAGTCTTCCTTCGTCCACATCATGTCTGCATCTTTTGTGTATCTCTTAACTGGTTCTTCTCCCTAGTAACAACTATTATGAATTATTGCATATGCTTTCTAGGATAGTCTACAAATTGATATCATAATATAAAACCATATACTTCTCTTGTTTTCATATGCATATCTACATAAACACATATATTTAATTTAAGCATATGTAAAAAAGCACTCATTAAAACACAAACCATCTATACTGTTGTCTTTTCAAGATATATCTTGGAAATCTTTTTATATAACAGTATATAAGGAAATACTTTATAATGAATAGCCTTGTGTATATAATAGATGGCACATATACATAAGTATATATGTAAAGTACAGCAGAAGTGAAATCACTCTATCAAAGGGTATAGGAAACCATTTTAAGTGTATTTTTAAGATTGGAATTCAAACATGAAATTCTAACTTAGGAGTTCTCAAACATGGCTGCTTGTTAACAGTGCCAGGGGAGTTTACAAAAAATACTGGTACTCCAAGTGTGGTAGCTAAGGCAGGAGGAATGATTTGAGGCCAGCCTCAGCTACGAAACCCTGTTGCAAAATAAAAAACAAAAAGGGCTTGGGACATGGTAGAGTAGAAAAGTGCCCTTGGGATCAATCCGTAGTGCCAAAAAAAACACACCAAAACAAAACAGAAAATACTGATGCCCAGGCCATATGTCTATATCAATTAAATTAGGATTTCTGAGGTTTAGTCATCAGTATATTTTAAGGCTTCCAATAGATTTCAATATACACACAATGACAACATCACTATTCTTGTTAAATACCACTTACAACTGACTTTAATATGTCATAAATTTACCTGGAGATATTTAGAACTGTAGCTTCATAAATGGGCATTAAATTTAAAACAACCTAATGATAAAGACCAATAGGAGAGTGTTAGAAATTATAGGGTCTAGAGGCATAGTTCAGTGACAGAGTGCTTGTCCAGAAATTCTAGCATTTTTTTTTTTCCTTTAGTACTGGGAATTGAACCCAGGGGCACTCTACCACTGAGCCACATCCCTAACCCTTTTTATTTTTTCTTTTGAGAAGTTGATGAGGCTGGCCTCAAACTCGGTAATCTTCTAGTTCCACCTGCAGAGTCATGGGGATTACAGGCATGTGCCAGTCAAAATTCCAACATTTTTTAAAAAGTAGTAATTTACCTTCATTTTCTACATTTCTTCTCTTTTCATTTTCCTGTTCAGCTTTTCTTTGGTACTCATTAATTCTATGTTGTAGCAACATTTTTTCCTTCTCAATTTGAGACACTGTAGATTCTAGATTTCTTCTTTGATTCCCCTGAAATTATAATGATAAAAGTTACCACTACAATTAATAGTACTTGTCATTTATGTTCTTAAAAAAAAAAACAGATAAAAACTGAACATGGATTGGTTTTTTTTGCTTGATAATCAAATAGTACCTSCTTATAACTTTTTAATAACAGATGAAGCACACCTTATAAATAACAATCCTTATTTAAGCTAGATAAGTAAAATTCAGAATTCTGAATCCATGAACTTAAAATACAAATATATCTTACCTTTTCAGATCAAAAATTGCTGTATTAAAGGACCTACACTGTATTATATTACAAATATTTTGGTTTGTTTACAATATTCAATTTAACTAATGAAAGAATCAGACAGKTATTAAATATTTGATCATTAATGCAAAGCTGAAATGGTTTCAAATGGTACAGAGGTCACCACTCCAAGTCACCTCATATCAATAATATTTTGCTTATCTTTTCTAAGATTCTCTATGTATCTACTTGCATTAAAAAGTAATCAGCTGGTTGTGGTGGCACATGCCTGTAATCCCGCAGCTGAGACAGGAGGACCATGAGTTGAAAGGCAGCCTCAGCAACAGCAAGGCACTAAGCAACTCAGTGAGACCCTGTTTCTAAATAAAATACAAAATAGTTCAATCCCAAATACCCCCCTCTCAAAAAAAAAAAAATAGTAATCAAGGAAATACTTTAGAAAAAGAAACTACAAGGGGGAGTAGGGTGTTAAAGTAAAAATAGTCAAAATTTCACAACTTAAAAATTTATCTCCTGTTTCTGAATTACCACTTCTAGGATTATCTTATTTTTGACGCTTCATTTTTATCTTTAAGACTCCACATCAGGGAGACCTGTTTTATAGTATGTGTCTTCTCCAGGCTTTCCCATCTTTAATCAAAAACTACCTTTTAAGTGAGATGTTCTCGGAGAGATTATTGTAAAGGTAACACAGACCTATAAGGCTTTTCAATTTTTGAGATTTTATCATTTTAACTTTAAATCCATTTGAATTGTTGTGTGTACCAACAGTTCATTTCTTCTTCCATGGTACAGGTATACCAGAGTGTTTAATCATTCACCCATCATAGGACAGTTTCAGTTTTTGGCTATAAGTAAAATTGCTATAAATAATAATATATAGGTTTTGTGAGAATATATAAAACTTTTCATTTTTCTGGAATAAAAGCCCAAGAGTACAACTGCTGAGTCACACAGGTGGCACATTTAGTTTTTTTAAGGAAATGTCCAAATGGTTTTCCAGAATGTCTACCATTTTACATTCTCATCTGCAATATACGAGTGACCCAGTTTCTCCACATTCTGTCAGTTTGGGTGTGATACAATTTTAAATTTCACTTGTCCTAATGGATAAAGAATGATAGTTTATGGTAGTTATTATTTGTTTATTGGTAAGCTTTGAGAGTTCTTTTAAAAGTCCTTTGTGAGATATATAGCTTGTAAATATTTTCCTCCAGTCTATAGCTTGTGATTTCTTCCTCTTTAATAGGGTCTTTTATAGAGCAAATGTTAATTTTGATTAAGTCCATTGATTGAACTTTCCTTATATAGAACAAATCTGTGGTGTCATGTCTAAGAATTCTCTAACTTACTGGTTCCAAAGATTTTGCCTTTATTTTTTCTTCTAGAAGTTTTATAATTTTATATTTACATTTAAATCTATGAATCATTGGGTGAATTTTTGCATAAGATGTAAGATAGTAAGGTTCATATTCTTGCCTATAGGTATTTAACTGTTCTATTATCAATAGTTAAAAGACTATCATTCCTCCAATGATTTGCTTTTGCACTTTTGCCAAAAAGAAGTCCGCTATAATCATGTGGAGCCATTTCTTTGTTTTCTACTGTTCCACTAATCTATATAACCATTCTTTTTTTTTTTTTTTTGGCCCTGGGGATTGAACTCAGGGCACTTGAGCCACATTCCCATCCTATTTAGAGACAGGGTATCACTGAGTTGCTTAGCACCTCACCATTGCTGAGCCTGGCTTTGAACTCTTGATCCTCCTGTCTCAGCCTCCTGAGCCACTAAGATTACAGGCCTGTGCCATGGCACCTGGCTATATGCCTATTCTTAGTATCATGCAGTTCTGAACATCGTAGTTATGATTTTTCTAAATAAACCACCCTGTCACATAAATAAAACGTCTAGACAGTTTTAATTATTCCTTTCTGTTCCTCCCTACTCTTGACTTATTATGAATGGGTGGGTATTGCATTCTATCCAATGATGTGTCTGTATCAACTGATATAATCATTTTTCTTTAGTAACTAATATGATGAATTAAACTGATTTTCAAGTATTAAAATAAGCCTACAACTCTGAAATAAATCATGGTTGGGTTTACCTTTTTATATATCACTGAATTATATTTTGATAAGAATTTTTGTGTTTGTATTCATAAGGGATAATGGTCTATAGTTTTCTCTGTAGTATGGTCTTTGGTTTTGGTATCATGTTAATCTCAGCCTCATAAAATTAACTGGGAAGTATTCTCTTACCTTTTGTGAGAAAGAGTACAGATTTGGTGTTTTCTTTTTTTTAATTCTATTTTTTTGGTCTTAATTTATATCTGCTTTTTACCTTTTTATTATTTCTCCTATGCTAAATAATCTCACCCACCTGAAGACTTTTTTTTTAAATTTTTTAGTTGTTGATGGACCCAGTGCCTCATACATGCTAGGCAAGCGCTGTATCACTGAGCTACAACCCCAGCCCCAAATTTGGTGTTTCTTAAACCCTTGACAGAATTCTCTAGTGAAATCACCTGTCATGGGGAATTTTTATTAGAGTTTTAAAATTATGATTTTGCTTTACATAACACTTATACAGGACTATCAAAATGATCTATTTCAGGGGCTGGAGTTGTGGCTCAGCRGTAGAGCGCTCGCCTAACATGTTTGAGACCCTGGGTTTGATCCTCAGCACCACATAAAAATAAATAAATAAAATAAAGGTATTGTGACCAACTACAACTAAAAAAAAAAAAAAATTTTTTTAAATGATCTATTTTACATTGTATGAGTTGTGGCATTTGAATTTTTCAGGGAGTTAATCCTATTTTATCTAAATTTCACACTTGTATTTAAAACTGTTCACAGTATCCCCATATTCCCTTTTCATATTCAGAGTCTATAATGATATGCTATTACTAATATTGGTAATTTGTGTCTTCTTTTGTCAGTCTTGCTAGAGGTTTATTCATTTTGTTGGTCTTTGTCAAACAATTTTTTTTTTTTTGGTCATTGATTTTCTCTGTTGTTTTTCTGTTTCCAATTTCACTGATCTCTACTTTAGTTAYAGTATGGATCTGGAATGTCCCCTAAAAGTTTGTGTCTTGAAGGTTTGGTCCCCAATGAAGCAATGTTCAGATGTGGGGCATTTGGGAAATGACTGGATCCTAGGAGCTCTAACCTCATTAATGGGGGTAATCCACTGATGGAGTCACAGCTGGAAGGCAGTTCAAAGTGTGGGAGGTAGGACCAAGTTGAAGGGAATGGGTCCTTGGGGACTACATCTTTTCTCCAGCCGCTTTTCTCTCTCTGCTTCTTAGTTGTCATGAAGTGAGCAGCTCTGCTCCACTATGTTCTGCCTCACCCACAAGCCCACAGTTAATAGGACTAAGTGACTATGGACCCCCTTAAAAGTTGTTTTTCTTACATATTTTGTCACAGAGGAAGAAAGCTGATTAACATTAACAGCTCTTATCCTTACTGTTCCTACCTTTCCATTGTTGTGGGTTTCTTTTTGTAGTTTCTTGAAGTAGGAGCTTTGATTATTGATTTGAGACTTTTCCTCTTTTCTAAAGCAAACATTTAAGATTCATTTTCAGCACTATGTTAGTTGCACTTCACAAATTTTGATGTTGGATTTTCACTTCAATGCTCTTAGTAGTTTTTTAAAATGAAGTTTGGAAGCCAGGCACAGCGGTGCATGCCTGTAATCCCAGTAGCTTGAGGGGCTGAGGCAGGAAGATTGTGAATTCAAACCCAGCCTCAATCAATAACTTAACAGAGGCCCTAAGCAACTCAGCAAGACCCTATTTCTAATAATATATTAAAAAGGGCTAGGGATATAGCTCGGTGGTTAAGCACCCCTGGRTTCAATCCCTGGTACAAAAACTAAAATAAAATGAAGTTTTGAGATATAATTAACATTGAATATAGTTTTTCATTTTCTTTGAGCTGATGTCTTTGACCTAAGGTTTATTTAGAAATGTGCTGTTTGGTTTCTATGGGTTCACGGTTTTCCTGCTATCTTTCTAGTTTGATTACATTTTGTTCAGAAAACACTATATGATATATTCAACTGTTTTAAATTGGTTTGCTTTCTAGTTCAAGATGTGGTATACTTGGGATGTGGTCCTTAAGCACTGAAAAGATTATATATTCTACTGTTGATGGGTAGAGGGTTCTATAAATGTCGAACAGACCCAGTGGCTGATGTTATGGTTGGATTCTCCTATATTTGTGATGATTCTCTGTCTAGAAAGAGGAGTTGAAATCTTCAACAATAATTGCAGATTTGTCTATTTCTCTTTCGGTTTTTACTTCAAGTATTTTGTAGCTCAACTGTTTGGTGTTTAAACATTTAGAATTGCTGTGTCTTCTTGGTGGATTGATTATTTTTATCATTATGCGACATTTCTTTCTGCTCTAGGTGATTTTCTTTGAGCTTAAGTCTACCTTATTTGGTATTAATATTGCCAATTTCATTAGTATTTATATATTGTTTTTACTTACGTATTTATATATCTTTTTACTTTCAATTTAACTATGCTTTTATATTTGAAGTTTTTGTAGACAATATATTAAGTGTGGGATTTTTTTWWAAAAATGAATTTTAAGGGCTGGGATTGTAGCTCAGTAGCAAAGCACTTGCCTCGAATGTGTGAGGCAGTGGGCTCAATCCTCAGCACCACATAAAAATAAATAAATAAAATAAAGATATTGTGTCCATCTACAACTAAAAAAATATATATATATATAAATGTTTTAAAACCTCTGTTAGTTGGTATCTATTTAATTTTCATTTGATGTAATATTAAGGTTAATTCTGCCATTTTTCTTTGATTTCTGCTTTTTATTAATTTTCTCTTTCCTGCTTTTTTGTGGGTTACCTGAATATATAACATACATTATTTTTTAAAGAAGAAAGTATCTGTGGAGATAAAATCTTTTATTTGTGGAGTTTTTAAGTGTATTTTCTGGTACAGATTTTTCAGTGGATGCTTTAGATGTTTTGTTATATACAAATACCATTATATCACATTGTACTAGTGCTGACATCTTACCAATTCATGTAGAGTTTCATTACCTTCCTGTTTATAATCRTCTTAAATATTTTCTTTACATACACGGAGAACTATATCACACAGTCTTATAGTTTCTCTACAACTATCAAATACAACTAAAAAAAATTAGRAGGAGGAAAATGTATTTCTGTAATTTTATTCTCTCTTCTCTTTTTCCTAATAATTCAAGATTCCTTCTTTTGTTATTTCCTTTTATTTGGGGAGGGAGTAGTACTGAGRATTAAACCCAGGGGGACTCTACCACTGAGCTATACACCAGCTCTTTTTATTTTTATTTTGAGACAGGGTCTCACTAAGTTGCCCAGGCTGGCCTCAAACTTGTATTTTCTTGCCTCCTGAGTACCTGGGATTACAGATACAGATGTGTGCCAGCCTATACACTTATCACTTCCTTTCTATTTAGAGAATTTTCTTTAGTCATTCTCTTAGGGAAAGTGCACTGGCAAGTTACTTAGTTCCTCCCATCTAAGAAGTTCATTAATTTTTTTTTCTTTAGTTGTAGATGGACAAATTACCTTTATTTATTTTTCATGTGGTGCTGGGAATCAAACCCAGTGCCTCACATATTCTAGGCAAGAGTTTTACAATGAGCTACAACTGCAGCCCCTCTTGATTTTTTTAAAATTCATTTGGGAAGAATATTTGAGCATAGAATTCCAGGTTCACAARGTATATTTTTTTTCCCCAGCACTTGAAAAATGTGTCACTTCCCTCTAGTCCTCTTGGTTTCTGATATCTGCTTTTATGTGCATTGATTTTTCCCTTTTAAGTAAGGTGTCTTGCTAAGTTTCACATTTGCTCTTTGTCATTTGTTTTTAGAAGTTTTATTATKTCTAGGTGTAAACTAACTTTGGATTTATTCCTTTTGTGGTTTGTTAAGCTTCTTGTAGGCTGATGTCTTTTACATGTAGGTTCATGTCCTCTGCTACATTTGTGGAATTTTCAGTCATCATTCCCTCCCATCCCCTTTCTTCATTCTTTCAGTAATTCCAATGACAGAAAAGTTAGAACTTTATTGTTACAGTTCTACATGGCCCTGAGGCTCAGTCACTTTTGTGTCCCATACATCTATTTTCTCTGTTGTTCAGACTAGGAAATTTTTATTGTTCTATCTTTAGGTTCTCTAACTCTTTCCTCTGTATTACTCTGCTGCTGACATCATTCATCAAGATTTTTATTTCAATTACTATAATATTTTTGGTTGGTTCTATTTTATATCATTTATCTACATCTTTGCTAATACTTTCTCTTTGCTGAAGCATTTTTTTTAAACTTACTTCAAGTATGTTTCTAGTTGGTCACTGAAACATATATATGATTGTTCCTTTAAATCACTCTCAGATATTTCTAACACTTGTGCCACCTTGGTGTTGGTATCTGTCTTCTCTCATTCCAGTTGAGATGTTTCTAGTTCTGATTATGATGAACAATTTGCTATTCGAAGCTGGACATTTTTAGTATTATCTTACAACATTCTGGATCTTAATTTAAATCTTCTACTTCCACTAGCCAAATCATGAAGTCAACCTAGGTGTTCATCAACAGATGAATGGACAAAGGAAATGTAATATGTATAGTCAATGGAGTTTTATTCAGCCACAGGGACAAAATTATGCAAGAAAACAGAACTGGAGATCATAGTTTTGCATGGAATAAGATTCAGAGATAAAAGTATCATATTTTCTCTTATGTGTAGAAACTAGAGGGAAAGAGAGAAAAAGAGATGGCATGAAAGTAGAAAGGTGACCATTAGGGTGGAGGGGTAGTAAAGGTAGGAAGGAGAGGGTGGACGGATATTAGAGATTGAGATTGATCAAACCGTGTTTTTATATATATGTGAATATGCCACAATAAATCTCATCCTTCTGCATAATTAAGATGAAATACATTAATAAAATGTCTGTTTCAGGACACCTTTCTGTCACTATTCTGGTAGGATTAAGGAAGTGCTGCTTCATTTCTGCCAGGTGAAAATAGATAACCAGATTTTGCACTTAGCTTCTACTGATACCCAAAGTGTGTGTGTGTGTGGGGGGGTGCTGATCTTCATTACCACTGGATGACAATGGGATTTCTAGCACTCCATCAATTACATGCCTGACAGAGGGGAATACCTTATTACTATTTCTTAGGTGGACTCCACAGTTACTGTTGTGGAGAAGGCTTGGCATTTTCAGTGGTGAAAGTTCTGACTTTCTACCATGCCTCTTCTGGCAAACACCCCAGAAGATAATGGGAGGGGTGCCATGCCATTACAGGTAGTRTAAATAGAAATCTGGATTTTCCTCATGGCCTCTGCTACACTGTCTGAGGAGGAGGAGGAAGTTAGTTACCACACAGTGGGGATGAATATCCCTTTACTAGGCTTTCTTTGATATTAGCTCATCTGAGGCTGTGGTATATTACAGCACAGAGGAGGTGGGAGTCTAGGCTTCTCACTTAGCTTTTGCTGGTGGGGCTACATTTTTCCATGCCATTTGCCTGAGTAGAGCAGTGATTGTGTAAGTTTTCTGACTTCCTAACCTACTCCTTTTTTGGTCCTTAGGTTAGGGAAAGACTTTTCTTAGGGTTTTTGTCTGTGCTGTTGGCATTTCTAGGTTGCTGCCATCTCCAGTAAGCAATCTGAGATATATGTGCAGCAAAGAAAGCCCGGAGTATTTATTCCTTTGTTGTTTTTCAAGACCCAAGTACCAAATTTACCTGGTCAGCCTTCTTCTTTCCACCTTTCAGAATACTTTTTTTTACATTTGCTTTGTATTTAATGTCTATGGATTTTAGCTGTACTTAGCAAGAAGAATAGGGAAATGTACTTTCATAGTGTTTTTTCCATAAGTAGGACTATTCTAATTTATAATTAAGATTTCCCTCTCTCTATCTTTAATTTGGAAAAAGGAATGACAAATCTAGCATATCTAAATTTTATGTTTTAAAAATGAAATAAAATAAAAAGTGAAAGATATTCAAAAAGGATCCCTTAAACACTAAGAGTAAAAAATACAGTGCTAAGGCTAAGTACTGCCCAATGGCCAACTGGTAAAATATTACTGAAATCTTCACAGATGACTGACTACATGTACATACAAAGCTACAAATGAAAGAGGATAAACCCGTGACAGATACCATTTCTTAGTAAAAACAGAGAGGTTAAATCTAAAAAGGACAAGGAAAGTAATGTATTAAAGAAAGACTACAGATAGTCTTCCTTTCAAGGGACTCTTCACATACACAGTAGAAAGATATCTACAAGAAGACTAGGAGGAAAGAAAATGTATTACATATTTACAAATATTAAAATCATCCTATTATCAGAGAAGTTTATGTTATGTTTCTCTAATAAAACCATCTTAGTAGGTAATCATGGAAAACATGAATAATTCCAAAATCAATGTACTTCCCATTTGACCACATGTAATTATGTTAATATCAATCCTTTAAAAATATTTTAAATTAGATTCCTTCCTCATTCCTATTTGTCTCTTCCTGATATAGTTCTAGATTCAATTTCTGATCTCTAACTTCTCTTCCTTCTTTTCATTTTTCAACTTTAAGGACTTTTGAACTAAATTTTATATTCTAAAATTTCAAAATGGTCATAGAATAAAATTGTACAAAGGAAACTTAAAGTATAAACTGCACCACTTGAACCTGCAACTCCAAAGGCTTTCATCTTAATTCTCTAGTTGTGTTTTGTGTTTCAACTATGTAGTTCAAATGCAATTATCTCAAGAAATAAAACAATCTGAAAGTGGGAACAATCTCAAAAAGGAAAACCTGTTTAATAAACAAAAATGTACCTCTTCATCCAATTCTTTCATTATCTTGTCTAGTTTTATATTTGAAGTTCTGTAAAAACAAAAGCAATACAGATTAGAAATATATTTATTGCCCAGAGTTGAAAATCTATATATACGAAATTTTTTTTTAATTATTTATTTTTTAGTTTTAGGTGGACACAATATCTTTATTTTATTTTTATGTGGTGYTAAGAATCGAACCCACAGCCCCACGCATGCTAGGCGAGCACGCTACCACTTGAGCCACATCCTCAACCCCATATACCTTACTTTTTCACAACTAGGGTTTCTTAATCTTTTTTGGTGCCATGAACTTCTTTGGCACTCTGGTGAAGTCTATGGCCTTTTTCAGAATAGTAATTTTAAAAGCATAAAAAATACAGAAGATTAAAAGAAGCCAATTATATTGATATACAGTTATAAATTCTTAAAAGTATATGCTTTTCATTACTATATGAAATCACAAGGTCTATTAGCAGTAATTTCAAGGTAGTAATATTCAGAGATTAACTAACAACTTTAATATAGGAAAATATCTGTGATTTTTATTAGTAATAGAAAGCTCACAGCTACTGCTTATTAACTTTATTGTTGCCTTTGAACAGAATTTAAAAATGATAAATGCCATTTATAAGTTAGGGAAAATATTCACTTTTTCTCATCCATCTTTAAGGACCTTGAATTTTATCCAGGAGAATTTTATAAATCCCAGAGTAAATGATACTACCTAGAAATCATCCTTGACTCATTTTTCTCCTTTACTCCCATCTAGTTTGATAAATATCAAGTGCTGCAAATTAACTAGATAGTTCTTTTTAAAAATTATATTTATGTACACTTCCTTTTTTTTTTTTTTTTTTTTTTTTGTGGTGCTCTGTGTGGATTGAAACCAGGGCCTCACATATGCTAGATAAGTGCTATACCACGCAGCCACATCCCCAGTCTGATGTATTATTAAAAAAAAAAAAAAATACACACACACATCTTTATCTTCTTGGTTTAATAACTTTCAAAGGGTTGGCTGGATGAGGTGGGACATGCATGTAATCACAGTGGCTCAGTAGGCTGAGGTACTAAGCAACTCAGTGAKACCTATCTCTAAATAAAATACAAAAAAATAGGGCTAGGGATGTGGCTCCAGTGGTTGAGTGCCCCGGAGTTCAATCCCAGGTATGAAACAAACAAAAAACTCCAACACTTAGGATAATTTCCAAGTTTCTAAGCTTGTCAGAAACAAAGTCCTGGGGAAGGGGTTGTAGCTTACTGGTTGAGTGCTTGCCTCACATGCATGAGGCACCGGGTTTGAGCCTCAGCACCACATAAAATAAATAAATAAATAAAGAAAGATTTAAAAAAAAAAAAAAAGTCCCTCTACACCTTGCCAACCTCCCCAGCCTAATTTCACCCTTTTTTTTTCCCCCCTTCAAATGTTACTACCTAATCAATCTCTCTTACATCAAGGCCTTCACAGATACCTATTCCCTGGATCCTAACAAATCCTTCTATTCTTTCTTAGTATTTCCCATTGAACCTTCTGGTTCCAGTTTTTCTAATCTACAACAAAATAGTGGGTTATCTCCTAATGTATACTTGTATCATTTTCTTCTCTCTCCACCTTACCACATACCATACTAATAACTACCTTTGTATCTTCATTGTTGATTACAAGCTCCATGTGAAGAGGGTCTATTTCTTGTTTTAGTCAGGATTACACTGCTGGCAAGCACATTATCTGATACAAACTGACCTTTTTTTAAAATTAAACTGGTTTGAATGTGCAGAATTAGATTAGAATTAGTTTTGACTTAATCTATATGTGGTGGTAGTTGAGGAAAATTTCTAGATAAAATTTATTTCTAGCCTGCCCACTTAGAATCAACCAAATTCTTCCAGTTCCTGGAAGGGTAAAAGGCTAAAAGTAGGACAGGGAAAGACAATCTAAAAATAACCAGCTATAGCCTCAGTAATTTAGCAAGGCCCTCAGCAACTTGGCAAGATCCTGTCTCAAAATAAAAAATAAAAAAGGGTTGGGATGGGCTGGGGTTGTGGCTCAGTCAGTGGTAGAGAGCTTGCCTAGCACACGAGGCCCTGGCTTTGATCTTCAGCTCCGTTTATAAATGAAATAAAGATATTGTGTCCACCTACAACTAAAAAAATAAATTAAAAAAAAAAAAAGGGTTGGGATGAACGGGTGGGGATGTAGTTCAGTGGTAAAACGCACCTGGGTTCAATTCCTGGTACCAAAATAAACAAACAAAAAAAGCTACATTTTTGTGGAATAAAGCTCTAATGGATATGTGAGAAAAGAAACAGGATAAAACATTTGAATGCTCATGAGAAAATAAATGAAATAAATGTAAGCAAATATTAATTTACAATTCTCAGCATTAAGTCTTTAAAATTARAAACTATTCACCAGGGATGGGGTTGTGGCTCAGTGGTAGGGGCTTGCCTAGCATGTGCCAGGCCCTGGGTTTGATTCTTAGCACCACATAAAAGTAAATAAATAAATAAAACAAAGGTATTGTGTCCAACTACAACTAAAAAACTAAATATTTTTTTAAAAAATTATTCACCAATATGTAATTTTAAAAGTTCTTATCACATTTTAATTCCATTTTCTTGAGAGTACACATTTTCACATGATTATCAGCCATTTTGGTTATTCTATTTCTTCCTCAAATTGATGCCCATCACTACTACTACCTTCAACATTCATTCAACAGTTTCTCCATTTCCTCCCTTTATTTCTATATTATATACTTAGAAATTCCTTCCAAATTCTGGGATCAGTTGATTGCTTATTTCCAGTGCTTTTACTTTTTTTTTTTTT